ATTTAGTCCAACAATCGATAATGGATAATATCCCACTATCGTTAAAATTTATTTTGATATCATATTAGAAATGATGAGATAACTAACTTAACCCTAAAAAATTGATTCAATATGGTAAAATTTATATTTATCTATATACTATAATATTATTGTATCTTCAATTAACATGATATTACGTAAATAATAAAGGGTTAAAAAAAATACACACACACAAGGTCTTCACCAAGCATGCAATATAAAGAATATTTATGACTGGTAAAAGATAATTTATAACTTAAAAGATAAAACATATACTAATAAACACAAAATAAGAATATCCATATTGACTTGATACAAATATAACCTTAATTTTGTGTATGAGTTTTAGTTTTGTTTTCAATTAGTACTTCATTTCAATTTCTTTCAATTATTCATTTTCTTTCATGTTTCTTTTAATGAAAAATATATATTATTTTAATTAGTCTTATATAAAAATTTACATTTATCAACATTTTAAATATTTAATTAGTCTTATACAATAACACTTTGTATGTTAAATAACTCTTGTAATAATAATTTTTATTAATGTTTTTTTCTTTTATATAATTAAAAAAAGGCTTTAATATTTTTATTATAATATTCTAACAATTATATTAAATATAATATTATATAGTTTAAAAATTTATAACATTATTTTATAATATATACTATAAATATATATATTATCAATATATTTAATAATTGACCTTTTTCTGATTATAATAAAATTACAATATTATTGATTTTTAACAACATTATTTTATAATACACAATTAATTATTAAATATAAACTACTAACATTATTATCAAAATTTTAAATTATTTTATAATATTAATTGATTATTTTATTATTTTATTATTTTGATGGTTAAGATATATTAATATTTTAACTGTTAGATTAAAAAAATAACGGTGAAGATGAATGATAAATCTCTAATTCTTATTTTTAAAAAGTAAGTGAATCTCTCTTTATATATATATATATATATATATTTTTTTTTTTAATAATTAAATATATTTGTTTATATATTTATAATTTTCACTTTTATTTTTTTAACCCAAAATCAATAATCAAAATTTATTACAGTAAAAGCTTAAACATCGAAAAAATATTACAATTCAAAAGAAGAAACTTTACTAATTAACTATCCTATAACTACTTTAGATATTGACATCGAAAAAAGATTATAATTTAAAAGAAAAAACTTTATCCATTGACGATCCTATAACCACATAATTAAAGAATGTGATGATGATGATGTTAGCTACAAATCTTGTGGATGTGCACTGTTGTTTGATGCAAGAAGAGTGAAGTTCTATTATTAGATATATCTTTTCTTTAATTAGGGCATACTTTAGATATAACATAATAAAGTGTTTACCAAATGCAAAATCACATAATCAAGGTATTTTCAATTGCTTTAAATACACAACATTGAATGTACATTCTTTTAACACTTTTGTATATAAACGTGGACTTCTAAGCATATGAATGTGGTTTGTGAATGAATATGTAAGTGATTCTGATTTGATATTGCATGTTTGAGTTCAAAAGTAAAAATCAATATAAAAAGAAAAACAACTATAATTATATCCTATTATATATTCAATGAAAATTACAATAATTATAATTAAAAATTATGATATATTAATTAAAGATGTAATAGATGTGCTAGACCGTTTATCGATGAATTGATAATTTTAGTTTGTGAATTTATTTTAATTCATCTTGTCTAGTTTATTAATTTTATATTAATTTTATGGGTTAAAGATGATTTGATTTCACTTGATTTAAAAAAATATTTATGTATTAAAATAAAAAAAATTATAATTAAAAATATTAAAATATATAAATACATTATAATATTATAACTTAAATTATAAAAATTAATCAATTAAATTTAAATTATTAATTATAATTAATTATTTTAATATATAAATATAGTAATTTTTTTAACTTATCTAATAACTTAAAAATTATTTATATAATTAAAGGTATATTTTTAAAAGCTATACATAAAAAATTATTGGTGAATTAATCCTTTAACCTGTCAATCTATTATTTATAGAAAAAAATTGGTATCTATAACTTAATTTGATTATGACGAACCATCTTTCATCTTTAACGTACTAAAAACAAACTAAGAAAAACGAGATGAATTGATCATCATAATAACATTTATTAAATTTTGCTTTTTATCGATAATAATTAAATAAATATATTAAAATAAAGAATATTAATAACATATTATTAATTTTATTAAATTTTACTTTTTACCACAATAATTAAATAAATATACTAAAATAAGGAATATTAATAACATATTACTAATTTTTTTCAAATATATTACTATTTTTAAATTCATTAAAAATTTAAAATAAAGCTCATTAAATAAAAAACAAGCCTCATATATGATATGTTCAAAACAATATAGTATTAATAATTTTTTAGAGAAATTAATATAAAATTGACATATTTATACTTAATTAGTTTTGGTTTAATTCTAAATACAAGAATTAAAACTGATGCTAAATTTTAAAAAAATGTATTGTTTAATATTTTAGTTTATTTCATATTTAATGTTACGTTTTTCAATGGATTTAATTGGGTAAGCAATATCATACTTTTACGAGGTATTTTCATGTATTTTTTTATAATTACGAATGTATTTTAATATCTGTATTTTCACATTTTAATATTCTTAATTTAAAAAAATAATAATTATTTTTTACTATATTATTATTATTATTATTATTATATTATCATCATCTTTTTATCAATAATATATCATAAAATATAATTAATAACCGATAACACATAAAATAATTATAAAAATATTATTTTTACATAATATGATAATAATTTTTTATATTTTTTATTAATAGAAATATAAGGGTTAAAACTTTATATATTTTTTATATTATTTTTTTATTTTAATTTTTTTCCACAATATTTTTTCTTCTTACTTATTTTTTTTATTCTTTTCACTTATCAAATGTATATTTTTTTCTTTCCCCTCTTTCTAATATTTTTCATATCTATAATATTATCATAATTATATTTTTTATATTATTTCTTCTTAAGAATTATAATTTTATTTTCTCTCTTATTTCTAATATTTTTCATATCTATAATATTATAATAACTGAGTTTTTTATATTATTCTTTCTTAAGAATTATAAGAAGAACCTTTTATATCTAATCGTATATCAGATTAAAATAATACTTTTTAATAGGTGATAATAAAAAATATTAAAAAAAATCTATATATTATTAAATTAAGTTATATATATATATATATATATTCATGCTATATAAACAATCTATTTTTTTAAACAGTTATTTAATAAACAATTTTAATTTTTTATATTATTATTTATTTATATTATTTTATTTTCTTTCTATCAATAAAAAAAATATTTTAAGATTATTTGTAGATGTTTAAAAAATTTGAATTGTCTTATATATATTAGTTTTTCCGTTAAATGCGGGTAGTGGTTTTGATGTTTTTCCTACGAGGAAACGGAGATTCTAGAAGCCTCGACTGGTTACAGTTGGAATCCGAGTATTGTGATAGACAATGTTAAGTTCTAACAAACATTCTGGTTTGCATTTAATTAGGTTTGAAATTTTTTAATACGACGTTCTAGTTGCCATCGGTTCGTCACGAATTTGGCTGTAATTACCTTTCATGTTTTAGTGCGTTTTTTCGCAAGCTTTTCACAACTTTAAAAAAAGCATTAAAAAAAAAGCATTAAAAAAAAAGCATTAAAAAAAAAGCTTTTAAAAAGCCCTGTCGTAAAAATATGTTAACACTTGAAAAATAGAAGGAAAGAAAATATAAATAAATATCAAAGTATCACTATTTTTTTTCTTTTTTTGAAATTTTTTTTTAGAAGAATGATTTATTTTTGAGAATAATAGAACTTCTCAATCATATTCCCAGTATTTTTTAAATAAATAGATAAGTTAGTTATAACATAATGTTAAAAATGATAAATAATTTTATCTTATGAAAAAGTTAGAATTAAGAGTTTAGTTCTTTTTGAGCTATATTGAATTTTAATGAATATAATTTTTTTTATATAATTTTAATCATTTAGAAAAATAAAGGGAAATTTACTTAATTTTACTTTTCTTAATTTTAAGAGTTAATTGAATTTTTTTTAATATTTTTCATTCATTTTTATTTCTCCTTTTTTTATTTCACTTTGAATAAAAAATATTAAAGAAAAGTACAGAAAAAAAATCACATGACAAATAAATACTAAGCAGTTTATTTATTGTAAATTAGTAAAAACATTTATCACATTTAAAAGTGTCATAAATTTTTACATTACCTTTTGAAATTATTTAATAAAGTAAATTTAATTATTTTATGTAATTTGCAAGACCCTCGATATATTTATTGAAGTTGTTGAGTGTTTGAACTCATTAGCAGGGAAGACCAATAGCAGCATGTGCACGTTTTTAAGTTTTTTCTTCCTCCTTAGCTACAAGTCAAAACTGGGATACCACTCTCATTTCAGCTAGTAACCCAACAAACACAAATTTCACCACAAAGTTCTTCTTTTCAATTCTGAACACAGATTTTCTTTCTGCCAGCATCATATATTGACATGGATTTGAACTTGTCCTTTTCTGCTTCAATCATTATGCGGCAGGTGCATTTTGAGTACAGCATCTCAAAATCTTATATCTCTCACCACTTCTTTGTAATAAAAGTTGCCCCTTTACTTTTGAATTTAATTGGTTAAGTAATGCCATGTTTCTTCTTTCTTTCTTGGACATTTTATCTACAGGACTGTTGGGTGCTGCCTTGGGATAAGTGAATAAAACTAGTTGATCTATGCAAATCTGGTCCTTTTGGAGGATTTTTAAGACTGTGGAACTTGTTAACAGGTGAATTATGCAAGGTTGTAATGTATTGTAATTTGTAGTATAAGTTGTAAGCTTTTGGAGTGGCAAAGTTGTTGCAATTATGGGTGGTAATAGAAGGCAGAGGCACCATTTCAGCAGAATCCATGCATTCTCGTGTGGGAAGGCTTCATTCAAAGGGGAGCATTCACTTATAGGGGGTCCTGGGTTCTCAAGGATAGTGTACTGCAACGAGCCCGAACGTGGTGAGGCGAGTTTTCTGAGTTATGGTGACAATTATGTGAGTACTACTAAGTATACAGTGGCTACTTTCCTACCCAAGTCCTTGTTTGAGCAATTCAGGAGGGTTGCCAACTTTTACTTCCTTGTCTGTGCAATTCTGTCTTTTTTCCCGGTTTCTCCTTACTCGGCTGTCAGCAATGTCATTCCTCTTGTTGTTGTGGTTGCTGCTACAATGGGTAAAGAGGCTGTTGAGGATTGGAGGAGGAGAAAACAGGTAATGTTCTGATGACTGTTCTGCTTTTGCCTCAAATTTGTGGTTAAGATGCTGTTCTGTAACTGTTCTGTTCTCTATGCAAATTGAATATGGTTGATTTTTCCCACAGATGTTGTTAGTTGTTTTAAGAACTGGGTTTGGGAAATTCTGGTGAGGTTTACTGTGGAGAGGGAATTGTGATGGGCAAAGTGCCTTCTGTGCTGAGAACATGCCTATTCTGATGAGAATTATTTTAGGAATGTCTACATGTGAGTGGATGAATGCAAAATGCTGCTCCTTTTGATTCTTTTGTCTACTCGTGTCTCAGATACATATATGCTGAAATTCTGCTATAAATGCCTGCAATGTCTTCTTATTTTGGCTGAAATTTATTTCTACCTAAAGAAATCAGGTTTGAGACACACTAAATACAACTTGAGACTTACATGATTTCGTGAGTCATAGTATATTTCGGTCAATACTAGTTAAAAAGAATTTATAAGAGAGCTTGGCTTTAGTATTTCTCATTTTGTGGAAGAGAGAAGAGATAATAGCAATAGTGCGTTGGTTTTTGTCTACTTTTACTTTGGAGACACTGCTTTTGATTGCTTCTTTGTTCATGCTCCTATTAATCATTTAGGTATGTAATGTATATAGTCTTGTCATTTCATCAGGATATAGATATGAATAACAGAAAGGTTAAAATGCACCATGGAGACGGTGTCTTTGACTATTCTAAATGGAAGGATTTGAAAGTTGGAGACATAGTAAAGGTTGAAAAGAATGAATTTTTCCCTGCTGATCTAATCTTACTTTCATCAAGCTACGATGATGCAATTTGCTATGTTGAGACCATGAATCTTGATGGAGAAACAAATCTAAAAATTAAACAAGCACTGGAAGTAACATCAAAGCTGCAAGAAGACTCGAGCTATAAAAATTTCAAGGCTATCATCAAATGTGAAGATCCTAATGCAAATTTGTACTCGTTTGTCGGCAGTTTGGAGCTTGAAGATCAATTGTATCCTCTTGCACCTCATCAGCTACTGCTTAGGGACTCAAAGCTTAGGAACACCGAGTTTATCTATGGTATGGTAATCTTTACAGGCCATGATACAAAGGTTATGCAGAATTCAACAGAACCTCCATCCAAGAGAAGCACAATTGAGAAACGAATGGATAAAATCATTTATTTTCTGTTCTTTGTCTTATTTTTAATATCTTTCATTGGTTCAATTTTCTTTGGGATTGCAACCAGGGAAGACCTTGAAAATGGAGTTATGAAGCGATGGTACCTCAGACCAGATAATACTACAATTTACTTTGACCCAAAGAGAGCACCAGTTGCAGCAACGCTGCAATTCTTGACTGCACTCATGTTGTATAGTTACTTGATTCCAATTTCTTTGTACGTTTCCATTGAAATTGTGAAAGTTCTTCAAAGCATTTTCATCAACCAGGATTTGCATATGTATTACGAGGAAACTGACCAGCCAGCTCATGCTCGTACTTCAAATTTGAATGAAGAACTTGGCCAAGTTGATACTATACTTTCAGATAAAACAGGAACTTTAACTTGCAACTCTATGGAATTCATCAAGTGTTCTATTGCTGGGATTGCCTATGGCCAAGGAGGAGTTACAGAAGTTGAGAGAGCTCTAGCCAGGAGAAAAGGATTACCTATAGGTGAAGAGTTTGCAGAAGATGGCAATGTTCCAAAGACTTCTGAAACAAAGTCTTCCATTAAAGGTTTTAACTTTATGGATGAACGAATCACAAATGGAAATTGGATCAATGAACCTCACGCCAATGTAATCCATAGCTTCCTGAGGTTGTTGGCAGTTTGCCATACTGCAATACCTGAAGTTGATGAAGAAAATGGTAAAGTTTCATATGAAGCTGAATCACCTGATGAGGCAGCTTTTGTGGTTGCAGCCAGAGAACTTGGATTTGAGTTTTATGAAAGGACACAGACAACTATCTCACTGCGTGAGTTCAATCCCAAATCACGCAAGACAACTGAAAGGTGTTGTTTTTGTCCTTATATGTTTATGCTTGATTTCCTATATCTTACATTTATCGACAATATGAATCTTGGAGAGTTGGTTGTGTTGTGGCATGAAGAAGTATATAATTTCACTTTTGCAGGTCCTACAAACTTCTGAATATACTAGAGTTTAGTAGTACAAGAAAGCGGATGTCTGTAATTGTAAGAGATGAGGAGGGGAAATTGCTACTATTTAGCAAGGGAGCAGACAGGTTTGTGATTTTGTTCATCAGTTTAAAATCCTACTGTGAGGGGTCCACAAGTTGTATAAGTTATCTTATGTGATACCTAAGCCTTGAGGTTCTCCCACCTACTGCACCAGTGTTTTTAGGTTACCACTTTTTGAAACAAAGCATAACCTACTTTGTTTTGAAGTAAGAATACAATCTATCCAACCCTAAACCCTGCCTATCTTAAATAAACTACGTGAGTACATTTGCATTCTGTTTCAGATGTACAAAAATATTAAATTTCTTTTGTTTGCGGCTTTTACTGTCAGTGTCATGTTTGAACTACTTGCAAAGAATGGAAGGGAGTTTGAAGAAAAGACTAAGCAGCACATTGATGAATATGCTGACGCAGGTTTGAGGACCTTGATACTTGCATATCGGGAACTTGATGAGGAAGAATACAATCTATTCAATAAAGAATTTATGGAGGCCAAGAACTTAGTAAGTGCAGATAGGGAGCAAATTGTGGAGAAAATATCAGAAATGATTGAGAAGGACTTGATTCTTCTCGGTGCTACTGCTGTTGAAGACAAACTTCAAAATGGGGTATGTTAAGCAATTGTTTATCTTTCAGACATTAGACTGAAGCAATGGCCAAATTCTTTTCTTTCGGTGCCACACTGAAACTGCTTGAGTATTCAGCAGAGCTAGTGGCTTTCCATTTCCAAACTTAATATGTGTGCTTTTGAATTAGCCGTGTTCTATGCTGTCATTAAAACTTACGATTGTTCTTTATGCTGTGTTCTTATGAATCTGTTTGAATCATACAGGTTCCCGAATGCATTGACAAGCTAGCTCAGGCAGGAATTAAGCTATGGGTTCTGACTGGTGATAAAATGGAGACAGCAATCAATATTGGGTAAGTTCAAACATATCAATAGAATTTTACATCCTTTGCGATAATATGGCATCACTGATTGAATAATTTTATGTTACTGCAGGTTTGCTTGTAGTTTGCTCAGACAAGGAATGAAGCAAATTATAATAAGTTCAGACACTCCAGAAATCAAATCATTGGAGAAAGTGGAGGACAAGTCTGCTGCAGCGGCGGTAATCCCCAATCCTAATAATTTCATCATGTGACATGATTGAAAGAAAGCAGAACGTATACCAGTTCTATCCCATATACAAGACATTTAAATCTGAGGCCCATGCATTAGAAAGTCCTTCAGTTTTCATTTCAAGACAATATTTTATTCTGATCTATATTTTAAGGCATAGCACCATACAATAAATTAGTCTTTTAACCATTGAACATCAGGGTATTAGATGCATGATTTTGAAGGAAGCTTTATGATTCTTTAGGCAATTAAGGAAAGTGTTATTCTTCAACTAAGGAAAGGAAAAGAATTACTTGCTGAATATGATGAAAACTCTGAGGCATTAGCTCTTATAATTGATGGGAAGTCTCTTACTTATGCACTAGAAGAAGATGTTAAGGACTTATTCCTTGCACTTGCTGTTGGCTGTGCATCTGTCATATGCTGTCGTTCATCTCCCAAGCAGAAAGCACTAGTAAGTTTTCCATGTACTTCATAGTCTTTGTAATTGCTCTTCCTTTATTGAAGAATATTCTTGATTGAAGTAAAACAACAAAGATTTATTTTATCCTTGAAGTTTATTGTTAGCCAATGTAGCAAAGAAGCATTTCCTTCTAAAGAATAACTAATTTGCTAACAAGGGTCAATGCTTCTCTCCTCCTATGGTGATATCCATGTGTTTAATGTTAAGGTATTACTATTATGATACTGCAGGTTACTAGACTGGTAAAGATTAAAACAGGTAGTACAACTCTGGCAATTGGTGATGGAGCAAATGATGTTGGAATGCTTCAAGAAGCAGACATTGGGATTGGTATAAACGGTGTCGAAGGAATGCAGGTAAATCTGAAATGTCCTACTTACAGCAAAAAAATTTCTTTCGATTTACCTTCCTATAAACACGACCTTTATAAAATTTTCAGGCAGTTATGTCAAGTGATATTGCAATTGCCCAATTTCGATTTCTAGAGCGTTTACTTCTTGTGCATGGACATTGGTGTTACAGAAGAATCTCATCAATGGTAACAATCTTGTCTTTGAAAACATACGTTGAAGCATAGGCTACTCCGTTTAATATATTCACATAGAATCTGTTCTAATTCTAATGCTCAAGTCAGTTACAAGAAATCTCGTGTTCACATCAGTACTTTAAAAATAAATTCATTTGGAATGAATATTTTGTGAAGCATTTTTGTTGCATGGTAACTCAACTTCAAAAACAAACCTGTTTACTAGTAAAACATTTTGCTATTCTAATTCTCTCTGTTACTCTCACCACACATTCCTTCAATTAATAAAAATATGTTAACCCCTTTTTTTCATTTGGCAGATCTGCTACTTCTTTTACAAGAACATTACCTTTGGCTTCACTCTCTTCTTCTATGAGATCTACGCCTCGTTCTCGGGGCAGGCTGCATACAATGATTGGTACCTCTCACTATATAACGTATTCTTCACTTCCCTCCCTGTAATTGCCTTGGGAGTATTTGACCAGGATGTCTCTGCTAGACTATGTCTCAAGGTATCCATTTACATTCAATTGCTCTTTATGTCATTTTGTTTGATGACGTTTCCTTAGATACAGTTTTAAAACACACCATTACTGTCACCCCATAACATCTTTCTTAATGAATTAAATTTTCAGTTCCCATTATTATATCAAGAAGGTGTGCAAAATGTTCTCTTCAGCTGGAAACGGATCCTCGGTTGGGCGTTCAACGGAGTCTTGAGTGCTACCATAATATTCTTCTTCTGCATCAACGCAATGGAGAATCAAGCATTTCGCAAAGCAGGGGAAGTTGCTGACCTGGAAGTTCTTGGTGCCACCATGTACACTTGTGTGGTGTGGGTGGTGAATTCCCAAATGGCATTATCCATCAGTTACTTCACTTACATTCAACATTTGCTCATATGGGGTGGCATTATTTTCTGGTACATATTCCTCATAGTGTATGGAACAATGGACCCCACCCTATCAACCACTGCCTATAAGGTCTTGATTGAAGCTTGTGCACCGGCACCATTATACTGGCTCCTCACTTTGCTTGTGCTTGTTGCTTCACTCCTTCCATACTTCGCCTATGCTTCAATACAAATGAGGTTCTTCCCCATGTTCCATCAGATGATACAGTGGATTCGAAATGATGGGCAAACGACTGACCCAGAATACGTTCATGTGGTGAGACAGAGATCACTAAGACACACAACGGTTGGGTTCACGGCTCGTTTTGAATCATCGCAAAGTTCGAGAGCATCAAAGAGTATTCAAGTTTGAACACCGTTAGCTAGAAAAGCAATCTTGTTCCTTTCTTTGTTGCATGAACATGGTCCCGAACATACATAGGCGTAGATTTGGTATAGTTAATCAATCAATCAAATTCTTAGGATTGTAAATAGGTAGAGTTGATAAGAAATGTCAAGTGATGCCCCTTAACAAGGGTGCAGGATGTTGGATTTAAATATTCTAATGAAAAAAAAAGAGGGTATAGAATGTAGAAATTATACTAAAAAATAGTTAATAAGGTTTTTGTTGAAATTTAAGTGGGAATTAAAGTTGACTTAAAAATAAAAAAGTTGAGTTGGAAGAAAGATTTACAAATCTAATGACTTAATATTTTGGTTAAAGGTGGTTTTATTTTCTTAAATAGTAGATTAATGATGAGTAGGTGAAGAATTTTTTTAGTATTATCCTTTTAAAATCAGCTGATACAAAATTATGATTAATTTAAAGTTGATTGATTATAATAAACGCATTTTCAAAAGGGAATTATTATAAAAAATTATTTATGAATAAAAGTAAATATTTTATTATAGATTTTATATATGAGTTATTTAAAAATGAAGAAAGTGAATTAAAATTAGAAGAAAGTTGTTTAAATAAGTAATTATGATTAAATTTTAAGTAACTCATTGTGCACTTATGTTACTAAACTTATCTCCTACATACAAAATGATAAATTATGCTTTCTATTCTTCTTAATACTAACAGTTTGGAAGCTAGTCCATAAAAGTCTACCTAAAATCATTGATCTCAACCGGTTTTCTCCTCTTTTATCTTGTGTTAAATGCAATATAGATGGGGGCCTCCAGGGTAGCTCGGGACATGCTTTATTTGGAGCCATATTTCATGACTACAAAGACAACATTCTTGGGGTTCTCTTCTTCTATAGGCATTGCCACAACCCTTATGCAGAAATTACAGCTATTATGATGGCCCTGAAGCATGTTGGCTGATTAGGCTGGAAATTTTGTGCATTCCTTACTCGTCTTTCGTGCTTTTAAAGGATGAGACGTGGTTCCTTGGCGTCCGATCCAGATCTAGATGGAGACATTTCTTATTATTTCCTCTTCCATGATTGTTCATTCCTCTCATATTTTTAAGGGAACGCTTGTACAAATAAATTGGCAAAATTATAGTTCAGATTTGCTTCATATCCCTGGTGGGGCAATATTCCTATAGCTTTACAAACTATGACTTTGGTAAGAAAATATATGAATGGTCTTCCAAATGTTCGATTGATATTGGTTTGGCATAACCAGTACATGTATCTGTGTTTTATATTTTTATGTCTGTACTGCACATCAACATTTAATAATTATAGTATAACAATAATAGTAAACCATTGTACATATTAGGTTTTCATCATTTATATATAATTTTTTCGTACTCTCATAAAACATCATTTATATTAGGAAAAGAAGAGTTGTTTTTTAAGGTAGTTGAAATAAGAAAAGAAAGAAAGAAAGATTTGTGGACATATTGTAAGGAGAAAAGGCAAAGTTAACCATATGATAACGAACAAGTCACTAAACAAATGCTACAGAATCCCAAAATATGAAAAATTGAAAAGGAAAAAATTTACAAGCGGAAGCTTTCCTTTCCTTTTTGCATATGAAGTCGCATTTTAGCACAACATCAAGGACAAGAAACATGTTCCAATGTGCAAAATCGTGTTTACAATGAGGAACCCCTGGTTACAACAATGCAAAGCTTAAGAAATCAGAGGCTGACCTACCCATCACAGTGGCAAACTCATTGAAGCTAATCACACCATCCCCATCTGTGTCAGCTTCTGTGATCATCTCCATGAGCTCTCTATACGTTAGGGGTTGACCCATTTTGGCCATTGCCCCGGCTAACTCTGCCGCTGTTATGAAACCATTCCCATCACGGTCAAAGTATTTAAACACCCCAAGGAGCATCTCTTGGTTTAACAATATCTCTGCACTAATGTTCCGCAGAATTGCATCAACCAACTCTTCAAACTCCACAAATCCATTGCCATTTGAATCCATGTTGGTTAATAACGCATGGATTTGGTCGCTTGAAGGCTTTAGCCCTAATGACCCAAGGAGTGCGGCTAGCTCCATAATGGTTAGGCTACCATCTGAATCCGTGTCAAATTTTGCAAAAATGTCCCTTAATTGGCGAAGTTGATTAACTTTAAGTTTTGACATGTTGTTCTCAATGAAATCAAGAAAACAACAATTTAAGAGGGATGTGCAATACATGGGTGAAATGTTTCTCGCAAACAAAAGTGACAGAAAAACCAAACAAAATGTTTGGATTGACGTCAATCCAATACTTATGTTCGACCATGCAAACACATGACTACCACGCTAACAGAATTGTGGAGATGTTAAGAAGAAAGAAACGATGAAGGTGCTTATTTTAGTACAATGCGATGAAGTGTGTTTGGTTTGTTTCGTTAAGAGGTGACGTTTTTTTTTTTAATTTTATTTCTTTAAGGAGACAGACTAGGATCAAAGAACACGTAGTTGGCTTTACGTAACAGTGTAACTGTCTTATATTGTAATATTCACAAGGTTTCGTATGTTTCATTTCCCATGTCATCATATGCCTACTATGATAACACTCTCATCATCCATTCGTATTGATGCTATTTTTATCAAGCTCTTGCACAATTTTCGGACCATTAATGATTTCAGTAAGATAACAATGTTCGGCACGTTAACTATTTTTTATACCAAACATAACAAGAAACACAAAACTTGTTTTTAAATGCAACTTTTTTTTTTTCATTTGAAGGAGTACCAAAGGCTAAAAAACTTCATAATTAATTCTTTTAAAACATGCTCTAATTAATATGTCTAATGGTTTGAAACTAATTATACTAATTAAATGCCATGTCCTTTACATGGGTGTTGTTAAGTTTACAAACTATAATGGTTACACTCTTATTTTAATTTATTTTGGTATTATAATTTAATTTTACAAAATTATATGTTGATTTTGGGGTAAAATAACATATAAATCAACATAAAAAAGAAAAAAATGTGAGTGACTAAAATTGTGAATATATATATATATATATATATATATATATATATATATATATATATATATATATATATATATATATATATATATATATATATATATATATATATATGAGCTTTTGTTGGGTGGCTCTCCAAACTGGAATAAGTTCAAGATATCTTTAAAAAGATTAAATTTATCATTTATACATAACACATATTCAATAAAATTATAAATTAAATATTTTTTTTACTCTAATTTCTTAAAATTATTTTTAAAATAAATAATCATATGTTAAAATAAAGTGTATATGTATAATAACAAGTATAGTAATAAAAAAAATTCTTGAAACAATGAATCAGCCTAACAAAATTGTGTATCATTGAACAAAACTACTACGTTTGTTGTTCGATAAATAAACATTAGAATGTCGAAAACATAAGTTATCTTTTAGTTTCAATATAATTTTTAATTTTTTTTACTTTCTCTCTAGTTCTTAATTAAAGTTTTAAAGTTCTTTTACAATATAGTGTATATTTCAATTCTTCGATTCAAGTACAATTATTATATGTGTTCTATTATACTTAATTGTTTTACTTTCAATTCATGAAAAGTTACAATTCGTATTGCTTTGATATAACTTTCTAGATTTCTAGGATTAGTTTTCTAATCTGAATTTTGTATTGAGATTTTTTTTCTTTCATGATTTCAATAGTCTCAAATTCCATATAATAAATGCAATTGTTGAATTTGATCAACTATGTCATAATTCAATATATCCAGTTCCTTTTTTTTTTTTTAATTATTTGGTATTTTTAAATTAATTGAATGTAATGAATCAATTAGATTTAACTACTTAGATTATGATTTTTTCTAGATATATCTTGTGATTATATTTAGATTTAGAAACCAATGAATCAACGAGAACAAAAGAAGATTAGAGAATTAACTATTGTTTTTACATAAACTTTTATACTTACATTGTTCACTCTTTTCAATTAGATTTATATTGTTAATTTCTTTCAATTAAATATTAGCAATGTTTTTAAAACCAAATCCTTAAAGATATCATTGGTTTAGGATTTAAAAGTTCAACCAGGATCTAGGATATATGTTATTACTACGATCATCATAAGTTATAATGAAGGTTATAAATACAAAATATATTAAAAAGTGTAAGATGAATAATTATTAAAATAAAATAAAAATATAATAAAATTACTATTATTTAAAGTTGACATAACTAATATGAAATAAAACACTAAAATATATTATATATTTTATAGAAAATTATATTAAAAAATTTGATCTTAATTTTTTTACAAAAATTGGTGATGTATATCATTTTATTCTTATTTCATGATCTAAAAATATTTTTTAAACTAATTATTTTCTTCATAAACCATGCATTTAACATATTTTTATTAAATTCAATCATTTTTTTAATTTGTTATATTTTATATAGTTTTAACATCAAAGCATAATGCACCTCTTTTAGGAGAAAAGTAATGTGAGATCAGTCAAATTGACGAAAATAAATACCCATATTCATAGCAAACATCATGTGTAGCCGAACTTCACTTCTCGAAGTCTATGTTTGCTTGTGCAACACTCTTGTCGGGAATGCTTCAATTTAATTTTAATTTTTGTTATTACGGTGCTTTTATATAATTAATTTTTATTTATTATTCTGTTGCAATTTAATTTTAATTTTTCAACATTTTGCTTTCATTTATTTTTTATTCTTTTGTTTCATTATCATCAACCCCTTACTGCTTTTAGATAGAATGATGTTAGGTAATAGATACGTTCCTATAATTGTATCATTGCGAAATTTAACATGAATTAACTATATTGCATTAATTTAATAACTTATTATTATTTTTATCAGCATTTTGTGCGACTAAAATGCTATCATCAACTAGTTCGACCCAAAAACCCAATTGATTTTCCCAATTTTATTGATTTGCCTCAATTTAATTAAAATTCAATTATTTGGAAACAACAAACTGGTTTCTAGACTGATTCTTGGTTAGATCTATTGAACTAGCTGGTCCGGTTTTCAAAATAATGGATATTAGACATCAAAACTCACTAATGTTTGATCAAAGCATATTTTGTTACCTAAATATGATGAAACAATGCAATACAACAATATTTGCACTAATTAGAAGAAAACATAAATCGTATTTTCAAGGAACATTGACAACTTGTTTAAGACTTAATTCTCACTTGTAAAGAATTAGGAGAGGGGGGATTTTGTGAGTTATGTGATGGAAAATAATAAAGGAAAAACAATAAACCTAAGATTTTAATCAAAGCATAAATCTAAGTAACTATTGAACGCAATGACATTGTGCAGTAAAATAAAACATTTGAAACACTAGACTCAATAAGTAAAAATAATAATTGTGTAGTAAAATTGAAAAAAACTATGAAATGCAATAATTGATTCTCTAATCATCAACTTGTTCTTTTGATTGTCATTGATTTCTAGATCTAGATGTAACCACCAAATAGATCCATACCAATTTTAAACATTCATAAACCAATTAATTATATAAAATTGATTCATTGCATTCAATTTACTTGAAAACACAATTCACTTTCTAATAAAACAATTACATAAACCTTTAAATTGATTTGTGATGTAATTGAAGAAATTGAATTGGATAACTTTAATTACATTGATTGTAATGAATTATAAACTGTTAGAATAGCGAAGAATCAAATCTAAACAATAAAAAACAAGCATTTGATTGGAAAATAAATCTTAGAGGTTTAGAAACTCATGACAAAACATTTAAGAAAAGTAAGGAAATTGCAAGAAAACAATAAAAAAAATGTAAACTATGGAATGTAAATGAACATGATTGAGAAAATGAAATAAATATGATATAATTCATCTTGAATTGATGAACTTTAAGGTAGAATTCATACAAGTGTAATATAAGAAAGTTGGAAACTTTACTCTAAGAACATGAAATAAATCTAGAGAAAATTAGAGAGAAATTTGAAATCTAGATCAAGAAAGTATAAAAATGAATAATAACTTATGTCTTTTGGCTTTTCCAAGCCTTTATATACAACAAAGAACACAATTAAAACACACAAGAACTAAGCTAAATTAATTGGATCACTGGGAGCTTGATTTGACAATTTTGTAGTAGTGGGTTTTACAACGTCGCGTTATGTGATTTTACTTGATTTTACGTTTTATTAAGCGAAATATTAGTTAAAATAGTTGATTAGAATTTGGTATTTTCACTTAATAAAATTGGTCTTGATCGAGCGAATTGCCAAAAAATCATGAATGAACTCTCTGTATGTAATTTATTTAAGAATCTCCATAAGCAAAACTTCTTTTCTTCTTTAATTCATCATTTATGCACCAATGTATAAATATTAGTTAAAATATATAATTTAATCAATAAATTAGATACAAACTATTTAATCATATTTTATCACTAACAACTAATTAATCACATTTTATCACTAGCAACCAATTAATCACATTTTAATCTCTCTCCTTTAGGAATCTTGATGCTCTAGCAACCAATTTGTCACTTGAGCAAATAAACTTTAGAATAGAACCCTTACTCCTGGTTTCACTTTTGTTTAAACAATGGATTGTTGTTTCAACGAACTATGCAAAAACTAGAAACTTTGTAAAAACCTCAAATAAAGTTAACTTGGTAAAAACTTACTTTCCTTTCATTTTCACAAATGAAAATGGATTTCTCACTTCCTAAAATCAATACCACACAAAATTGATTCAATTATTTAGAATTTTACATTACAAATGTCAATCCATTCCTAGTCATAAAGTTCTAACTTTACTAAGTTACCATAACCACAGTTGTTAATTACATGGAAGTTACACCGAGTTATGACTAGGTCACATAACCAAATTTAGGTCGATTATCCTAATGTGTTATAAAATCTAAAACTAATTTTTCTTACCTTTCACTTCACTTCTCCAATGAGAATTCAAAATACCTCAAAGTCTTATAGGAGATCTAAATTCAAAATTAACTTTTGATCAAACAAAAGGACTAAGTTGCACTCAGATCTAGAGAAAAGATAAGCAAGGAGCGAGAAATCTTAAAGAGAAGATAGATGTTTTTGAAGGTTTAAAGAGATGATGATTTTGTAAAAGTGATGTTTCAATAGTTAAAATTTATATTTATAACCTAATTTACTTAAATAGTAAATCATCATCCTGTATCTA